ATAATACCCTGCATTCACACACCTGTTTCAAGTTTGTCTTTAGCTATTTGGACTATATTTACTGCATTCTATCACACATCCATTGCTGAGTCATGTTAGTGCTGCTACAATTCAGGTGGTCAAAACAAGGGATTGTTCTTGCCTTTTCTCGTGTCTTGACCCTTGTATTGACACGTGTTTTGATTATTTGCTGCCTGCCTTGACCTTTTGCCTGTTATACAGATTACTCTCGTGGATTTACTCTGGCATTGCTGACCTTTCTCTTAATAAATACTGTGTTTCATCCAACCCCTGTCTTCTTGTCTCCGTTTGCAACAGTATTCACATAGAAAAAAACTTGCATTCTTTTTTTTTACAAATTGTATTTTTATGTGTGGCTTGAGAGAGTACATACTGTTATGCTATTTAAACTTAATTTAGCCGAAAGCTGTGTACTGTGTTGCAGTTTGTTCTGATATCTTTTAAGACTGGTCATACTTACAGTTTTTTCATTAAATAATTCATTTATTCATTCATTTTATTTTCGGCTTAGTCCCTTTATTAATCAGGGATCGCCACAGCGGAATGAACCGCCAACTTATCCAGCAAGTTTTTACGCAACGGATGCCCTTCCAGCCGCAACCCATCTCTGGGAAACATCCACACACACACTACACACACACACACACACACACACTACGGACAATTTAGCCTACCCAATTCACCTGTACCTCAAGTCTTTGGACTGTGGGGGAAACCGAAGCACCCGGAGGAAACCCATGCGATGGCAGGGAGAACATGCAAACTCCACACAGAAACACCAACTGAGCCGAGGTTCGAACCAGCGACCCAGCGACCTTCTTGCTGTGAGGCGAACATGCTACCCACTGCGCTACTGCCTCGCCTCGCCTTTTTAGTTATCATTCATTCACACACAAATGCTGTGTTTGTAAATCTCTATTCATGTGGGGGTTTTCCACTGTGTGTATGTACTGTACATGTATATTGATAGAAATATGCAAATAGCCGGCAGCTAGCTCTCTGCAACTCTCACATGGTCGCCCACTGAAGCTAAGCAGGGCTGCGCCTGGTCAGTGCCTGCATGGGAGACCACATGGGAAAGCTAGGTTGCTGCCGGAAGTGGTGTTAGTGAGGCCAGCAGGGGGCGCTCAACCTGTGTGCGTCCTGATGCCCCAGTATAGTGAAGAGGACTTTTGGATGAGACAGACAGACACACTCACACACAAGCATGAGAGCATACACACTTGCAGACAGACACACACTTACAGATACACTCATTCAAGCAAATACACACTCACACACAAATACACTCTTACAGACAGAAACACACACACACACTCACATATTCGCTCTGTCTCTCTCTGTCTTTCTCTCTCTCTCACACACACACACATACACAAACACTCACTCTCTATATCCACACTCTCACACATACACATACACATACACTCACTCTCTATATACGCACACTTACAGACACACTCTCACACATACACATACACTTACTCTATATACGCACACACGCACACTTACAGACACACTCTCACACATACACATACACTCACTCTCTATATACGCACACTTACAGACACACTCTCACACATACACATACACTTACTCTATATACGCACACACGCACACTTACAGACACACTCTCACACATACACATACACTCACTCTCTATATACGCACACACACACACTTACAGACACACTCTCACACATATACATACTCTCTATATCCACACACACACTTAGACACACTCATTTCAACAAATAAACACAATACACACGCACAATTACACACAAGCATGAGCACACACACACTAACACAAATACAGACACACTCACACAAATACAAATACACACTCACACACAAATATACATATATTCTCTTACCGACAGAAAAACACACACACAAATACACATGCACAAACACACATACGCGCACACACACACACACACACACACACATATACACGCTCACACACACGCGTTCTCACTCAAACACAGCGCCTCAAACACACACACACACACATATACACACTCTCACACACACGCGCTCTCACTCACACACAGTGCCTCAAACACACACTCACACACTCACAGATGTCCAGATGGCATTAGTGGACCTGTAATCCATGTGTGGTTTCTTTGGTGCAAACACTGCTGGGATTATAGAGCGTGTGTGTGTGTGTGTGTGTGTGTGTGTGTGTGTGTGTGTGTGTGTGTGTGTGTCAGTCTCTCTCTCTCTATGTTCATTGATGAGGAGAATATCTGCTGTGTGTCTGTGTGCTCTGTCTGATTCACTTCTCACATTCAGGTAAGCGTGTGTGTGTGTGTGTGTGTGTGTGTGTGTGTGTGTGTGTGTTCAGTACTGGGTTGCAGCTGGAGTAAAACATATGCTGGAATAGTTGGCAGTTCATTCCGCTGTAGTGATCCCGGATGAATAAAGAGACTCAGCCTGAAGGGAAATAAATGAGTGAATGATCAGCTTCAGTAATAATGTGAAGCTGTGTGTAATATGTATATTTTTGTTCTGCGTTTGGTTCTGATATTGTGATGATGTTAATATTTTACTGGCTGTAATATGACAGTATTAGATGTGTATGATTTGTTATATTGTAATATCTACAGCATATCTGGGTTTTTGGATGTAAATTCGTCAGATCTTGTGGTTGTATCTTTGTGCTTCTGTATATTAATATATCAGACAGCCGCACACAACAACACACAGTATTTGTAATCAGGCTTAATTTTGCTGGCAGATGACGGTTGTTCACTAAACTGGTCCAGCAGAGGATTCTCATGATTCAGCAATCTGCTCTGGAAATGTGCTTTATTTGAGTTCGAGCAAACAACAATCCTGATATTCAATGTTTGTTTGAGTTCCTCATTTCCACAGGGAGTTTTCACTTTTTAGCTATTTTTAAGTAAGTGTGTATTTGATTTATTGTATATTTACTGTCTTTAATTTATTATTTTCTTAATTATTAATAATAATTTTGTTACTTTTAGGTAATTTTTAGGTATTATTATTATTATTATTAATAATCTTGTTATTATTATTTATTATTATTATTATTATTATTATTACTACTACTACTACAACTACTACTTGGGTTGCCGCTGGATAGGCATCTACTGCATAAAACATATGCAAGAGTAGTTGGCGGTTCATTCTGCTGTGGGGACCCCTGATAAATCTGGGACTAAGCAAAGGAAAATCAATAAATGAATGTTAATTGTATTATTTTTTTTTATTTCTATATGAATTATTACTTTTTTGTTTGAATTGCTTGTTACTTTTATTATTTAAATATTATTATTTATTGTTATATTGGTTGTTATTATTACTACTACTACTACCACTAATACTACTACTAATAGTAATAATAGTTATTAATATTATTTTTAACTACTAAAATTATGTATTATTATCACTACTAGTTTTGTTGTTATTATTATTAGTTTTGTAGTAGTATACATTTTCTTCTTCGTTATTATTTTTATTATTATTATTATTAATAATATTATTATCATCATCAATATTATCTTCTTTATTATCATTATTATTATTATTTATGATAATAATAATCACAATAGTTATTATTATTATTACTTGTTATTGATATTATTTTTACTACAAAAATTATGCGTATTATTATTACTACTAGTGTTATTATTATTAGTGTTGTCATTAGTATTAGTTTTCTATTTCATTATTATTTTTATTTTTATTATTATTATTATTAATATTGTTATTATTATTATTATTAATATTATTTTATTATTATCATCAATATCATTATTATTAAGAATAAAAATAATAATAGTTATTAATATTATGTTTACTATTAAAATGATACATATTATTACTATTATTTCTAATGTTATTACTATTATTTGTGTTGTCATTAGTATCTTTGTTCATATCCCTCCTCTTCGTTACTATTAATATTAATATTCATATTTTTACTATTAAAATTATATGTATTATTATTATTATTACTAGTGTTATTATGTTTGTGTTGTCGTTAGTATTCGTTTTCATCTGTTAATAATAATGTAAAGTTTATTTCTAACTACGCACGCAGTGCTTAATTTAGTATTTTTATTATATTTGCACTGATGATTCATTCACAATACAACAAGTAACTAAATGATCATTAAGGTAAATTAATTTCATATTGGTTATCCTCATGATTGTAGTGTTTTATTTTCTTTTTTGTTCGATTTGTTTGATTTTCAAGAGTAAATGTCTGCTCTGTGTGAGTTCAACAGCCACAACAGCATTATTAAAGCTATGTTGGAACTGACTTTGCAGTTTTTTTAATGAATTTTCTGTGGTAAAATCCTCATGTAAAGATGAAGATGTGTGTATAATCTGTGTATTTGTCTGACGCTCTGCTGCTTCTTCTTCTTCTTCTCACAGGTGTGTGTTTCCTGTGTTTGGTGGACGTGGTCCCTGTAAAGAATGAAGATGGCGTAGTGATCATGTTTATTCTGAATTTCGAGGTCATGCCTGACGATAAGCTACATGACCCCCAGGATCTCAATCACAAGCTGCCTCTGCTGTGGCGCCATTCAAGTACGTCATTTATATACGTCATTCATTTATGATCCCCATAAATCTAAATCAGAAGCAATGTCCCCCAACTGTGATGTCACAAACCTAGCTCACAATCTGCCCCATAGAGTAATATCTGCATTCCTATTAAACTATTAACATTGATTTTATTATGAGGATGAACCTCAAGATTTTCAAGAGGGTCCCACAATGTATCACAATCACATAACAATAACACGATAAAAAACACAACTGACATAACATCTATAAAACAACAAAACATGAACAGAACGAGAGAAAAAAAGACATTACAAGATTATCAGAGAAAACAAAATACAACAGTACTACACAACCAAGCAACAACATATATTGGTTATATTGAAATTACAGATACAGATATTAATGATATTTAGTGAGGAGATCACTTGCATATCAAAGTCACAATATCAAACGTTAAGAAGTCTTTGGTAACACTTTAGAATAACAGTCCATTTTAGTTTGTGTTTACTAACATTAAGTATGAATAAACTAAAGCATTTATTAACCTAATGAACTAATGCATTATTAACATGCAGGGGTGGACTGGTCATCCAGCAGACCAGGCAGTTTCCTTCTGGGCCGATGTACTTTTTGGGCCGGGCTGATCATCTTCTTATGATCTAATCGCCCATAAAACACTTAGCAGGCTATCCTTTTTCTGGCGAAATAATTCACGATGCTGTGATCCGAGATGCTCTGAAAGTAAGATGTTTTTTTCAGACAGACCAGCTCATGTGACAGCTCATTGTTTTTTTGTTTACATTGGGCTGACCCGATCACAAACTCTTATTTTGCGCAGCGCTTATGGAGAACAGAAGCAGTGCGCAGATGTTTGCCTTTCACACTGGCTGAGTCTGCAGCGCGCAGCGGATTGGCGGCTGTTGCACATCGATCTGTCTCTTTCTATTCCATCTAGTTACCCAACTATCTATATAAATACACTTTTTTTTTTTTTTTTTAGGGGTTTTCACATTTATTTTGATAGGACAGTAGAGAATTGACAGGAAAGCATGGGGAGCAGAGAGAGGGGAAGGATCGGCATAGGCCCGCATGTGTTGACGCACTTACCACTACACCACTGGCACCAACATAAATACACTTTTTATTTTTACTTTCCATCTGCACCTGCGGCAGCTTCCTCCTATTCTGTATCCTTAACCTGCAAGTTTTTATTTTACTAATGATAAAGGGCACATAGTTTACCCCTTTTTTATGATTTAATATTAATATTATGGTTCTTCTGAGTGTCAGTTTAGGTTCAATTCAACAAACTTATTATATAAGTTTTCAAACTTATATACCTTATTATACCTTATTATAGGTATAACCTTATTATAATGTTTTCAAAAGTGTCATGTTGTGGGTGTGTACACAGCTCGCTGTTTTAGGGGCGTGTTGCTTCACATGAAAATTAGTTTGGGCTTCGAATGTAACAAGGGGGCGGAGCCAAGAGCTCACCAGCTCCGAGTTTGCAACAGACAGGCAGACAGAGAGAAGCAACATGGGTGAGAGGATCAGCATTCAGTCGTACATGTACGACTCGGACACAGACCAAGCAGAGAGTACACAATCATTTGTGTCTCTGTTTAGTTTTACAGCCAACTGTGTGCTAGTTTCAAATGCCGAGCTTGTACACTGAGACTAATAACCACACACACACTCAATTAACTTTGACTGAAGCACCGGATGCACCGCTCGAAGCTGCGAACACGACACACCAGACACTTTGTGGCGCGGCAGAAACATGAAGTTTCTCCTACGTCAAGTTGCGGTCGCTCTGAAAACCTCTCCAATTAGTCCACCGTTTTTATGTTGTTAAATTAAAACAAAAGCACTGGGTGTGTTTATATCACCCCAATATGACTGTCTATACACTATACCTACACACATGTCTGTCCAAACAGTAGATTTGTCACTATAGGTGCCCTTTAAAGAACGGTTGGCTTCTCAAGCTCTATAAGGGATGGCATTCATGTCTTTTCAGGTGCACTATGTCAAAAGACAATCACCTGTAATATCCTGTAGTTTTGTTTTTGTTGTCAGCATGTAGGCTTATAGTTCTAATATTTATACAATATAGCTATAATGATATTAATACATGATCAAACTAGTGTGCAACTTAAGCAAGACTAACACTGAAATTGTTTTAAATGTGGTTTTGTAGTTTGAGCCCAAATAAATATCTGTTGCAAGTTCATTTGATTGACTGTATAAAGTCTTTAATGTATGTTTGATGTTTCACATTTGAATTTGTTAAGGGTCTCGGATGCATTGCTTTGATTATTTAACTCAATTTTGTTAATCAACATTAACTGTGTGCGTCAGCAGAGAGTTTTTGTCATGTTCATTATTTAACGTAGGCTCCCTCAAAACACACAGGCACACACAAGAAGCACTTCCAGCGTGGATTATAATAATATATTTTATTATATTAATAAATGATTTTTTTTTAAAGTTTTTAATTTGTCTACTCTCATTACTTCCTATAGATTTTTGTTAATACAGCTAATATTACCCTTCATGACAACTGTGAGGGTGTGAATTTTTTTATAACTCATCCGTTTCCTTTATATTAAGTTATATTAAGTTTGCATAATTAAGGGCGTGGCCACTTGAGTGACAGCTAGGTCTCGTTGGTTGCCGTCACGTCACCTCAGCTGAATTCTGCAGATTAGCCACTGAACTCGGCATATTTATCCTATTTCTGTGTTGTTTTATGTGGCTTTACACAGTCAACTGCCTTTTGGACGTGTTTCTTACAATTATTAGATGGCATGGCATGCTGAGTGCACTTAATTGTGCTCACAAACCATTCACGTGGCCTCCGTTTCCCATGTGAGTAATGTTATATACTTATACACCATCTCTATACATGTATTTGTTTTATTTAAGATCATTTATCGTTTATATTTATATTTAGAGCTGTAATGCACTCCAGAATCTGACGAATTGATTAGCTGCAGGCTCTAGATCAGTCATCTGAAGCATTGTCATACAGTGTTATGCTGGATTTCATCAATAGTTTTACATTAACTAGCACAGACTATATCTGAAGTGTTTGGAAGTAATTCGCGTTTTCCTCCTGTTGAAAAACGTCATAAGAACAATGTTTAGTGGCTCAATGTATTACAGCAGTGTTTTTAAAAGGCTAAACACTTTATTGATATAGTGTACAACCAAGCACAAGTGGTCAGAATATAAACGAGTCGCAGGTGATAAAGTATTAAGCGTTTCTCCCAAAGTAAAGTGTGTCTGAACCAGGTCCAGGCAAAATGCCAGCAGGTGTCTGTAGCTCCGCCCACTCTCCGCCTCTTTGCCCTTGTTTGGTATCCCGTCGTGGGTGTGATGACGCGCGACCAAAATGTCGACGGTTGGCCGCGCCTACTTGTGGCTTCTTTTGTGATCTTCAGAAACCTATGGGTGACGTCACGGATACTACATCCACATATTTTACAGTTTATGGAGTTAACATGAGCTAACGTTATTTAACTTAAACATCATTAACTCATGTTTACAAATATGGGTAACCCTTTACAATAAGGTTCATTAGTTAATGCATTTACTAACATGAACTAATCATGAACAACAGTATTTTCATTAACTAACCTAAACTAACATGAACACATACAGTAGATGTATTGTTCGTTGTTTGTTCATGTTAGTAAATGCATTAATTAACATTAGCTAATGAACCTTATTGTAAAGTGTGACCCAAATATGAATAACTACTGTAATTAAATATATTGTTAATTGTTTGTTCATGTTCGTAAATACATGAACTAATGCATCATTATTTTAAAGTGTCACCAAGTTGATTTGAATTGTATATTTTCTGTGTGTGTGTGTGTGTGTGTGTGTGTTGTAGATCGAGCTCGTGGCATCCGCTTACGCCTCCCCCTTCTGAACTCCAGAAATAACAGTAAATCTTCTCTGCGGGAGGATCCTGAAGCGGGACGAGGGGCCAGTTTCCCCAGCAGCTCCCGTCCACAGAGCCACGAGTCTCTGGCGCTGGGTGAACTTCTGTCTCTGCCCGAACACCGCGCCACTGCTGCCCTGCCATCAGCACTGCTGCCTGAAGACCAGCGCAACCTGCTGGGCAGCGCCGCTGCATCCCCCCCGCCAGCCCCTCCGCACCCTTGCACGCTGCCCCTGGGCCATTCGTCCCCGCGCCCGCAGCGCCTCAATCCGGACGCCTCCGTCTCCAACTGCAGCCTGACCAACAGCCGCTCGCGGGAGAGCTTTCACAGCATGCGGCGCGCATCTTCAGTGGACGATATCGAGGCCATGAGGCCGGAGTGGGAGAGGAAACACCGCACCCGACCCACCAGCTGCAGCACGGGTGAGAAAAAAACACGACCTCAATAACTTAACACTGCACTATACGCCCCATAGACTATCGTTTATAAGCATGCATATGTGGCGGACCGGAAACGCAAGCTTGTACGGTAAGTTTCGCATGTCGTCACATTGCAGAATTCAAACTTGGTGACCTCTGACCTGAGAAATCACATCATGTGATTTCATGAGACCACTAGAAGATAAAACAGGACCTGTCTGTACAGATATGGACCAATCGCTTGCTTCAATGTCTAATCATCTTGTTTAATCCTGCCTGTACGACAGAATTTAGCACACTCAAACTTCCTGAAGGTGCCGGAGCTCTGCACAGTTTAGCTTGAACCGTAATTAAACACACATGATCATACTAAATGAGGCATTCAGGCTTGTTTAAAGCTCTGGTCTCACTTGAGCGTGCGAAATTCTGTCTTACAGCGCTGCGAAAAGGGCAGGATTAAACAAGATGATTAGACATTTAAAAGAGCAACAGATTGGTTTATATTTAAAATTCCTGTCCAGAGAGGTCATGTTTTAATCCTTGATTGATCAAGTGATGCAATTTCACAGGTCAGAGTTCACCAAGCTTACAAACTTTGCAACGCAGTGAACTACAAAACCTGACGCACAAACGTGCGTTTCCGGTCTGACACACTCGCCTGCGTATGAATGGAAGTCTATGAAGCAGGTCTTCATTCAGGATGTCTCTGTACATTGCTGCATTCATCTTTCCCTCTATCCTGACTAGTCTTCCAGTTCTTCTGCTGAAACACATCCCCACAGCATGATGCCAACACCACCATGCTGCACTGTAGGGATGCTGTTAGCCTGGTGATGAGCGCTGCCTGCTTTTCTCCAAACGTAACGCCTGGCGTTCACTTCAAAAAGTGCAATTTGAGTCTCATCAGAGCAGAAAGTTTAGTTTCTGATGGTCTGAGAGTCCTTCAGATGCCTTCTGGCAAATTCCAGGTGGGGAGTGTCTTTCGTCTGGCCACTCTACCATACAGGCCGGATTGGTGGATTGCTGCACAGATGGTTGTCCTTCTGTAAAGTTCTCCTCTCTCCACACAAGAACGCTGGAGCTCAGACAGAGTGACCATCAGATTATTGATCACCTCCCTGACTAAGGCCCTTCTCCCCCGATCACTCAGCTTAAATGGCCGGCTAGTTCTAGGAAGAGTCCTGGTGGTTAAACATCTTCCACTTACGGATGATGGAGGGCGCTGTGCTCATTGGAACTTTAAAAACAGCAGAAATGTTTCTGTAAGCTTCCCCAGCCTTGTGCCTCGAGACAATCCTGTCTCAGAGTTCTACAGACAATTCCTTTGTCTTCACGCTTGGTTTGTGCTTTGACATGCACTGTCAACCCTGGGATCTTATATAGACAGGCCTTTTCAGATCATGTCCAATCAACTGAGTTGAGCACAGGTGAACTCCAATGAAGCTGCTGAAACATCTCAAGAATGATCAGTGGAGACAGAATGAACCTGAGCTAAATGTAGAGCTTCACGCCAAACGCTGTGAATACTGATGTACATGTGATTCCTCAGCTTTTTTATTTTTAATAAATTTGCAACAATTTCAAAACTCTTTCCTCACATTGTCATTATGGGGGATTGTGTGTAGAATGTTTAGGAAATCAATGAATTTAATCCGTTTTGGAATAAGGCTATAACATAAACAAATGTGGGAAAAGTGAAGCGATATCAATACTTTCCGGATACACTATACCTAAAACTCGTCAGTGGCAATTTGACATTTAATCGACATTAGCCCCTTTCACACATACAGACCTTTCCGGAAAATTACCGGCAATTTTCTGGAAAGGTTGTATGTGTGAACAGGCCCCTTTTGAAAATACTGGTAAATTCGTTCTGGCTATTTTCCGGAAAGAGAAGTTGTAACATTACCTGTAATTTGCTGGAATGCTGCGCTGTGTGAACGCAGAAGGAAGATTGCTGGAAAGAGCGCGGCCACTTCTAGAACGTGCTGACGTGAGACGTCTGCTTTAGCCAATCAGAACAGTCAGACGCATTCACGTCCGTGCGGTTTATGAGAATAAAAGCCTTTGAATATTTTCCCAGACGCATTTAGCTGCTAGATGTTAGTCAGATAACGTTTCTATGTTCCTTCTTAATGCTAACTGTGTAAATAATTATCGATAACATGTTTATGATAAGCCGTTGTTTGTTTACCTTTAAGCTTTGCGTGTGCCCGTGAGTGCCCATAGCGCCAGCACACACACATATCATGAACATCTCCACATGCGAAAGTGTTTCTCTATGTTTTCATTGGAGTTGTACTCAATACTGATCCATCCGAAGAGTTTGTAATGTAGTCAAATGTTTACAAACACAAGCGCAGCCGTTTAGAGGTCATTTCTGGTTAATGATGTCAGAATTTACCGGCATTTTGCGATGGATGTGTGAATGCTCTTTTCCGGAAAAATTCTGTAACATCCTCGCCTGTGTAAACAGCACTTTTTTTAATATACCGTTAAAGTCGTTCCGGAAATTTTCTGGATATTTACCGGTATCACTGTGTGAAAGAGGCTATTGTCTCATCAATGTCGGGAAAAGAGATATCATAAACTTCAAAAGCATCTGTGATTCAACAGAAGACTTTAAAGAAATGTCTTTGTGTGTGCAGGTGCCATGAACAACAAGTCCAACATCCTGAACTCTACCTCTGATTCGGATCTGATGCGTTACCGCGCCATCAGCAAGATCCCGCAGATCACACTCAACTTTGTGGACTTTAAACCGGACCCTCTCATCGCCCTGCCGGCCGGAGAAATGGACATCATTGCGCCCTGCAAACTGATCGACCGCACACACAACGTCACGGAGAAGGTCACGCAGGTAAGTTAAATGGGATTTACAGTCACGGTGGTGTTGTTGAGGGTGAGATTGAGACAGATCGACCTGTTTGTCTTCTCTATGCATCTCTTTTATTGTCTCTGATGGCTAGAGAAGCATTACCATGAGATTGTGGCGTCCCGGATAAAAGGCGCTTTTGCTCAAGGACAGTTTTTAAAGGAAGCTGCTGATGTTGTTCTGATGCAATGAGCCGTTTTGAAGGTTTACCTGAGGAAGTTGAGCTCGCTGGATGTGTTTTATTGGTTTTGAAGTTGCAGTGTTTGCTTGCAGAAAGTTAAAGAGATGTGACAGTGTGTGTGTGTGTGACAGTGTGTGTGTGTGTGTGTGTGTGTGTGTGTGTGTGTGTGTGCGTGCGTGTGTGTGTGTGTGATGAACTTGGACTTGGAAAAGTGACATTGACAAAATACACTCTAAAAAATTAATATTTTGAAAGCAGTATTTACTTAAAAACAACACACTCAACATTACACACAAACAATTATTATGAGAAAACAAAATGAAATCTGGACGAGTCCCAGACATCAATAAAATGTTTAGAACTTCCGAGGATTCTGAAAGTGATTTGATACCTTTGATTAATCTAAACATTAATTTTTACATAATTTATTATGTTACGGTCTGCGTGGCTCGGAGGATGAAAAGGGCTAAACATAATTATGACAACCCAATATGTTTTTAATTCCCCTGAGACGTTGAATCCACACAGACAACGAGCCTGGCAAAAAGTGGCAAAAAGAAAGAAAGAAAGAAATAATAAGAATACTTTTAGTGACGCAAAGTATGTTATGGTTATATATTTGTCTGATATTACACTGATGTTTTTGACATATACTCTACCTTATTATATGCATACGTCATGTTAATAGCAATACCAGTCTTTTTATTTATATATATATATATATATATATATATATATATATATATATATATATATATATATATATATATATATATATATATATATATATATATATATATATATATATATATATATATATATATATATATATATATATATATATATATATATATATATATATATATATATATATATATATATATATATATATATATATATATATATATATATATATATATATATATATATATATATATATATATATATATATATATATATATATATATATATATATATATATATATATATATATA